TTACGGATTCAATGCAATTCCCATCAAAATCCCAACACAATTCTTCACATACGTTGAAAGAACAGTACTCAACATCATATGGAAAAACAAAAAACCTAGGATAGCCAAAACAACCCTGTGCAATAAATGAACTTCTGGAGGCATCACCATCCCTGACTTCAAGCTCTATTAAGGAGCCATAGTCCTGAAAACAGCTTGGTATTAGCACGAAAATAGGCAGGTTGACCAATGGAAATGAATTGAATATCTTGATATTAACCCACACACCTATGAACACCAGAATTTGACAAAGAAGCTAAAGTTATACAATGGAGAAAGGAAAACATCTTCAACAAATGGTGTTGGCATAACTGGATGCTAGAATGTAGAAGATTGTAGTTAGATCCATATCTACCACCATGCACAAAACTTAAATCCCAATGGATCAAAGACCTCAACATAAACTCAGTCACACTGAATCTCCTAGAAGAGAAGGTATGTGGACCCTTGAAAAAATTGGTAAAGGAGACCACTTTCTGAACATAACACCAGTAGCATAAACATTGAGGTTGACAATTAATAAATGGGACCTCTGGAAATTGAGAAGCTTCTGTAAGGCAAAGGACACAATCAGCAAGACAAAAAGCCAGCCCACAAAATGGGAAAAGATATTCATCAATCTCACATCTGACAGAGGGCTGATCACCAAAATATACAATCAACTCAAGAAGCTAGCCACCAAAACACCAAACAATGCAATTAAAAAGTGGAGTGCAGAACTAAATAGAGAAGTATCAACAGAGGAATCTAAAATGACTGAAAGACACTTGAGAAAGTGCTCAACATCCTTTGCCATCAGGGAAATGAAGCTCAAAACCACGCTGAGATACTATTTTATTCCTGTCAGAATGGCTAAAATGAATAACACCAATGACAATCTATGCTGGAGAGGATGTGGAGAAAGAGGAACACTCCTCTATTGCTGATGGGAGTGCAAACTTGTACAACCACTTGGAAATCAGTATGGCAGTTCTCAGGGAAATGGGAATCATTCTACCTCAAGATTCAGCAATTCCTCTCCTGGGTATATACCCAAAGAATGCACATTCATACCATAAGGACATATGTTCAACTATGTTCATAGAAGTATTATTTGTAATAGCCAGAACCTGGAAACAACCTAGATGCCCCTCAACTGAAGAATGGATGGAGAAAATGTGTAAATTTACACAATGGAGTACTACTCAGCAGAAAAAAACTATGTAGTCTTGAAATTTGCAGGCCAATGGATTGAAGTAGAAGAAACCATCCTGAGTGAGGTAACCCAGTCACAAAAAGACAAATATGGTATGTACTCACTCATAAATGATTTTTAGACTTAGAGCAAAGGATTACCAGGCTACAATCCACACTGTAATAGGAGCTAGGAAGGACCTATAGGAGGATCTCAAGAGAAGATTGCATAGTCCCTCCAAGAAGGGGAGGGGGACAAGAATCCCTGAAGAGAGTGGGAGCACAGGGTGTGGGTGGAGAAGAAGGAGGTGGGACAGGAAGAAGAGGGGAGGAGAACAAGAGGACTGAGACAGGGGAGGAATAAAGGAGGGCAAGATAGGAGATGCCTTGATAGAGGGAGACAGTCGAGGTTTGCAGAGAAGTCTGGCACAGGGGAAATGTTAGGGAATCCACAGGGATGACCCAAACTAAGAATCCAGGCAGTGGTGGAGAAAATGAAACTGATGCAGTTCACCTATAATGAGATTGGTGTCTACCTTGGTTACCATTCCTAGAGCCTTCATCCAGCAGCTGTTTGAAGCAGAAACAGGCACCCACAGCTAAGCACTGAACCATACTACTGGAATTCAGTTTTGGACAGGGAGGAAGAATGGGCAAAGGAGCCAAGAAGGGGCTGGAGAGACCCACAGAAACAGTGGACCTGACCTACTGATAGCATGGAGACCCTAGTCATAAAACTGGGGAAACAGCATTGGACGGAACCAAGCCCTCTGAATGTGGGTGCTGGCTAGGAGGCCAGGACAGTCTATGGGACCTCTAACAGTGGAACCAGTCTTTATCCCTAGAGCACAAATGGACTTTGGGGGCCCATTCCCTATGGAGGGATACTATTGCAGCCCAGATACAGCAAGGAGGGCCTCGGCACTTCCCCAAACGATATGACAGACTTTGAAGGCCCCTGGTGGAGGGCCTCACTGTCCCTGGGGAGGAGTTGGGGATGGGTTGGTGGGTTGGTAGAGAGCCTGGGAGGATGGGAGGGTGAGGGAATGGGGGGGGATGGATATGTAAATGTGAGTGGTAATTAAAGAATTTAAATTAAAAATAAAAAATAAATAAAAGTCTTTCCAAAAGCTGGCATTGTCCTCACCCAGCAGTTTTTCTGTATTTTGAACAACTTGCTGCCCAGCCCTCACATCATAGCACGAGGCTTCCAGGCCATACTTCACAAAGTGTCAGGCTCCATGTCAGCCAACAGTGCCATCCCCACAAATGATCTGGTCCTTTCTAGGTTTGATTAGATATAACCTATCCATTATTGATGAAATAGTGGGGTGAATGAGAACTGAGAAAGTGAACAAAAATTGTAGCTGCTGGGAATAGGGAATGGAAACATAAGGAGCCTTGTGCCAAACTTGATTTCAACAGGGCATGCTGGGACCACATCCCAGAAGTCTCAGTTCACTCAGCCAGCTTCAGTGTGAAATGGTTGTTCGAGGTGTCCTTTATTTATACCTGAAATCCAAACCTCAGAGCGAAAGAAAAAGAAAAGAAAAGCAGAAGTCTTGAGAGTAGTACAAGCTCCTAGACACCAATTGTCTGGGCACAATACCCAAGCTGGTGCAAGTGAAAGTGGACAATGGCCACTCTGTTAAATAACACTGCCTTCAAGCTTCATGCTCAGCTCTTTACTAGGTTTCTTCACATGGGAAAGACAGAATAATAATGATGGAGTCCAGCTGTAGAGGAATATGTCAGTGTGTGTAGCACCCAGGATGAGTATGTTTTGAGATGTACTATAAAAACAAAAGCATTGTCAGAATTCATTTTCTTAAGTCCACAGGTTCCTTTGTAGTTATAATAATACCAATTACCTAGCATAAAAAGATGTCACCATCCATCACCATACACCTGCTTTAGAAACAACCCTGTTTAGAAGCTGCGTGTGAGTAGCTTTACTTTATGATCTTTATGTCATTTTTAGATAAAAATGACACCACTTTGTTGTTTTATTTTTATAAAACAAAAATTTTGCATAAAATTTTTTGTTTCATACTCTATATGACTTTCCTCTTTTATGGTCAATGCCCAAATGAAACGATAAATGTATTAACTGAAATGGATAAATCACATTTTGAAAGCCACTTTCTTGTATTTCATTCAGGCCCAGAGAAGTTAGATAACTTCATATAAAGGAGAATTTAGTGGAATAGAAAGACCTTGATTCTAGTACCAGTTCCCGATCTATGAGATGCTCATCTGTCACCTTAGGTAAGCACAATGTTCACCTCAGTCTTAGGTTAGCTATCATTTGAGTGATGTCATCAAATTAGATCAGGTCCAAGGACTTTTCAAGCTCTAATGCTCTGATATTGATACCAGGCTGACATTTGAAATGCAGAGATGGCCTTAGAATACTGCAAGCAGAAGTTAATGCCCATTATTGTGGGAGTTTGGAATGCCATGATGGCAGTAGAAGTATGAAAGCTGAAGGCTGAACTCTTGAGTTAAGGAGGGGAGAACAGGCTTTATATAGAATTGGACTAGAGCTCATTTTTGTTACATTGTGATGAGGACTAGGTACACTCTTTCCATGTCCAGAAAATTGAGTGACCGTTAATTCAATGTGTATGCATTAAGTTGTTTGAAACTTCCAATCTGTCATAATATTGAGGCTATGTCAAGGTTATTACTTTCTCTTCATTGCCATATTCAGAGTGATAGGATGAAGAACATATTAAATGTGTTTTATAATTTCTCTTTCTTTCATGTATGTTACATTTTACATATTGAATAACTATCTCCTTATATTTAACCTTCCAAGTTGCATTTGCTCATATATTATGGCCAGTGTCTATGGTTAAGTACTGGGCCACTGAACCACAGCAGCAATCACTTGTTCTCAGGAGCTTCACAAGGAAACAGGAGTCTCTGTGATACAGAATTCATTAATAAAGGAATTTTATTCTCTATGCACAAGTATTTAAAAGACAGTTTGAGAGATGTATGATATAAAAGAATAACAACAGCTTCCTTTCAGGTCCTATGATCTTCCTAAGCTACAGGTTTTCACCCTGGCTTACAGGGAAAGATATAAAATACATGAACTTCCCCCTGTGGTATTGGTTGAAGCCACCATAGATGTGCAACTTACTGTTGCTTAAGCAACAATCTGCCTGGCACACAGTACTCTAGCAAGTACTTTCTTGGGGGTAACTGGACTATTCATGACAACTTTTCCCCAGCAGCCTGTGTAACCTATTCCCACACTAGCAATGAGGAGAGAGCCACCATCTCAATCTAAGCTTTATATTTCTTTATGCTTTGAACCAAAGCTGGTGGAGTCTTCAGCAAAGGTTGGCACAACCTTGTTCTTTGTAACAATAGCAATGGCAACTCTAGAGAGTTACTTCCTCAGTCTCATAAACCTCACCTCTTCTACTTAAGCCAAGTGTCTTAATTCACAGGAAATTGCTATAAAAGACATCCGGGCTGTCAAAATGTACTGGAAGTGTTTACTCTATTGGGGGTGTGCTTGTGTATATTAAGGGTGGCCAGTCCGCAATCCTACAGTGTCTTAAAGCATTTCAGCTGGTCAGGCCCTGGAATCACTCCCGAGCTTCTGGTGAGTCAGTCAGCTCTGGAGGAACCTTATCTGCTTCTCCCAATGGCCAACACAGTTACAGGCTGGGTACTTCTGTTGCTCCCTCCCTACTCTCTCCAGAATATTTCTTTCCCTCACAGCCATGCCAGAGCTCAGTGATCTCATCTTCTTTTCCATTTTCTTCCAGCACCAGGACATTGACTTTCAACAGGATGAAGACTACAACTTGTTGCCTTCTCATCTCTATCTGCTTTCTCCAGCTGATGGTCCCAATGAATACTGAGAACACTTTAGACTCTTTGCTGGAGGAAAAAATCAAGAAACTTATCGGCTGTGGAGGTATGAGATGAGTATGAGAAAGCAGCCCTGTCCTTGCTCATGCTGGCTGTCCATAGCCTAATCTAAGATCTCTGCCTCTGTTTAGTCCACTTCATCCCTGCCTTCCTGACCAAGGCTTTCTTCAGTACTCTACTCCTTAGGACTCTAAGACAAGAACTCAGTGTTTTTGATGAGGATGAAGAAAAGGAGGCTAGGTCCTATGATTATGAATACATTATGAAACAGGTGTAATATTAAGCTTTTAGTTAGTTCATTTAATTTTCACAGCTACTTTATGAGGTTTAAGTATTCTTTACTTTTACTACTTACTCTTCACAAATGAAGAAAGTAAATCTTGAAAGTTAGTGACTCCCCAAAATAGGAGACTACTTAAATGGGAATTGTGAGAAAGAACATGGGCAATATCATTTTCCTCCTCTTATTCAGATGACTGTACCTCCACTGTGACTAAAACTCTCTCCTGCACTAGTATCCAGGCCTCAGGCAGACGAGCCTCCTGTCCACCCGGTGAGTAACTCCTCAAGGAGAATTTGTGAATAATTGTCCCTGTGTCTACCCCCATCATTTCCCTAATACCACCTTCTCCTATCTCAGGTTTGTATTGCCATGGAGCTGAGCCATAGTCACAGATACCTAGAAATCCCATCCTAGTTTTCAGTTACCTTAAGGATGCTACTAGGGGACTTAAGGGTTCTGCTCTTCCTGTCACTTCTTCCTTCATGTCCCTCGTGCCAGGCCTTCTTCTTCCTTAATTGTGTGGTCATGAACAATTTATTTCATAATCTTCTTTCATTTCATAATGTATTCCTTATATTGGTGGGCAGAGGGCCAGAACATGGGTGAAATTGCCGTTTACGGAAAGACATTGAAACCCCACCTTCCAAGTCCTTCAGTACTTTTGCGTTTCATTCGATTGAAGAAAATTCTAAAATTAGAATAGATTTATGCCATGCAAAGCCTATAACTACCCCTGCCTCTCCTATGAAGAAAGGACAGTTAGGGGCCTTCCATCTCTTGCAGTCTAAAGGCTCTGATGTATGTTTCTCACATGACTTTGCAGGGACGGTTGTCACCGGTTGTGCTTGTGGCTATGGTTGTGGATCATGGGATATCCAGAATGGAAATACTTGCCACTGTCAGTGCTCAGTCATGGACTGGGCCACTGCCCGCTGCTGCCAATTGGCCTGAGAATGAGGAGGCTGAGGACCCAGTTTGGAAATGATGACTATAATGAAACCGCAATCTGAACTTGGTAACCTGGCTCATGTTCCCTTGATGAATTCATATTACCCAGTAACCCTGCTTCTTGAAAAATAAAGAAAAAATTCACCTGTCTATATTATGTCTTTAATGTTATTACTCCTAACTTGGGAAACCTCTTGGCAGAAAACATTTTCAGTACCTCAGATTACATCTCAGTATGGTGTGTGAGTTGCTTGGAAAGATATGGGAAGAATGGGAAACAGACTGATTCTCCACTTCTCCTGTTTCCCCATTATTTAACACAAAGTATTGAGTACACTGTTTGGCATGAAATATAGCAAAACGAGTACCATGCTCTTAATGGAGCTCACCAACTAGAACACAAACTCCAACCCATGTGCAGGAAAACTTTGCAAGGTGTAGGCAGGCAAGAGGAAACTGAAAATTAATTTTGAACCTTTTAGCACACACATGTACTCTTTCTTACTCTAGTACTGCAGAGGATATTCATCAAGGTGACTTCCTTCCCTGTTGCCCTTCTTTTGATAACATAATAAAGCCACATCTCTCCCATGTTGTCACCGAGTCTTACTATACTTCAGTTTCCTGGGTGTAAAAGCTTACAGAATTCTGGGTAAAAAAAAATAGAATTCCAAACAGAAAATAAGTATAAGTAAGTAACCCATGGGTGTGGAAGTAATGGTGGTTTAAGTTGATGGACTTGAATTTTTGGCCTTCATGGTCCTGAATAAGACTATAATTCAGTTACAATGCTAGATTACCAAAAGTGATTTTTCTTTTTTATTCTTCTCTCATATATCACATCCTGACCACAGTCTCCCCTACCTCCTCCTCTCCTCTCAGCAACCCCTCCCTCTCCCCTCCCCCAGATCTACTCCTTGTTCGTTTCCCTTCAGAAAAGGGCAGGCTTCCTAGGGATATCAACCCAACATAGTACACCAAGTTACAATGAGACCAGGCACATGCCCTCATATTGATGAGGCAACCCAGTAGGAGGAAAAGGGTCCCAAGAGCAGGCAAAAGAGCAGGAGAGAGCCCTCACTTTCACAAGAACACCAATCTGCACAACCTTAACGTATATGCAGAGGACCCAGGTCACAGCCATGCAGGTACAGTCTTGTAATCCCCTATATGCCCTTCTTAGTTGATACTATGGGTATTCTTGTGGTGTCCTTGACCTCTATAGCTCCTTTCTCCCCTTCTTCTTCAGGGTTAACTGAGCTCCAGCTTTAGGTATGGGTCTCTGCATCTGCTCCCATCTGGTGATGGATGAAGCCTCTCTGATGACAATTATGCTAGGCTCTGGTCTATGATAGAGCAGAGTATCATTAGCAATCTTTCCTTAACTTTTTTTCTCGTCCTATACTATAGGACCAGATCTCTATACTAGATCTCTGGGCTATCCACTCCGGATCCTGGCCCTTCAGGCACGGGCTCCCTCTCACGCCATGGATCTCAAGCTGGACCCATCATTCATTGGTCATTCCCACAATTTCTGTGCCACTTCTACGGCAGCACCTCTTGCAGGCAGGACTAATTGCAGGTCAGAGGTTATGCCTGTCTTGGTGTCCCAATCCCTCCACTGGAAGCCTTGCCTGGTTACAGAAGGTGACCTGTCGAGGCTCCGTATCCACCATTACTAAGTAGATTCCGGGATTTTCATTGTACTAGTTTTCTACCTCGTCCCCCAATCCCAGTTGTTCCTCCCAGTACTCTCTCACCACATGGCCCCATCAGAACACATCTGTCCCCATACCCCCCCAACTCCCCAGTCCACCAGTAAAATCTATTCTTTGAACACTACTTGTTAGCCTCTTTTGGTCTGTGGATTGTACCAAAATGATTCTTTATTTTACAACTAATACCCACTTGTAAATGAGCACATACAGCCCAACTTCTGCCTGACCACTCTGAGAGCTCCTGTTCTGGGGGTCTTCAGGCAGATTGACTGGGCCCCTGAGGATCAAGCACATCTGGCATCTCTGTGCTATTCTTGTTCCCACCCACCTGGAGAGCCAGTGCCTCAGACCTGCCTGCACCCACCTTGAGACCCATCAGAGTATAGGTCCCTCTTGCACCCACCAGAAGTGAACCTTGGACCCATACACACCAGGAAAGGAAGAGACACCTGAACTCTGAATGCCAGAATGACCTGGAGGAAGAGATGGGAAGATGACAATGTACGACAATATAAGAACACATCCAACAACAGAAAAACCAATATGACACCACCACAGTCTAGAGACTCTATGCCAGCAAGACCTGAATATTCCAACATAGATGAAGCAGAAGAGAGCAAACTTAAGAACAACTTCATGCAGATGATAGAGACCCTAAGAGAGGAAATAAGAAAATCCTTCAGAGAAATGGAAGAAAAGACAAACCAAAAGATGCAAGAAATCAACAAATCTTTTAAGGAAAGCCAAGAAAATAAATCAAAAGCTGAAGAAAACAATTCACACAGTTCAAGACCTGAAAACTGAAATAGAAACAATAAAGAAAACACAAACTAAGGGAATGCTGGAAATAGAAAGGCTGAGTAAACAATCAGGAACCACAGATGCAAGCATAACCAACAGAATACAAGAGATGGAAGACAGAATCACAGATGCTGATGATAAACTAGAGGAAATAGATTCATCAAGCAAAGAAAATATTAAATCTAACAAATCCTTAACACAAAATATCCAGGAAATATGGGACACCATGAAAAGACCAAACCTAAGGATTATAGCTATAGAAGAAGGTGAATAAACCCATCTCAAAGGTGCAGAAAATATATTCAACAAAATCATAGAAGAAAACTTTCCCAACCTAAAGAAAGACATGCCAATGAAAGTATAAGAAGCCTACAGAACACCAAATAGAGTGGGACACAAAACAAAATCCCTTTGTCACATAATAATTAAAACACCAAACATACAGAATAAAAAAAGGATATTAAGAGCATCAAAGGAAATAAGCCAAGTAACGTATAAAGGCAAACGTATCAGAATTACACTAGACTTCTCCATGGAAACTCTGAAAGCCAAAATGACCTGGATTCTACCAACTCTAAGAGAACACGGATGCCATCCCAGCACAGCTTTCAATCTCTATAAATGGAGAAACAAGATATTCCATGATGAATCCAGATTTAAGCAATATGTAACCACTAATCCAGCCCTACAGAAAGTACTGTAAGGAAAATTCCAACCTAAGGAAGTTAACTACACTCACAAAAACATAGACAATAGATAATTCTACTTTACCAAAAGCTAAAAGGAAAAGCAGGGTAAATCCACATACAATGCCACTACCAACAACAAATCAAAAACAAACAAGAATAAGCACTCAATGGTACTTAATATCCCTCAATATTAATGGTCTTAACTCACCTATAAAAAGACATGGACTAACAGATTGGATAGGAAGACAGAATCCATCCTTCTGCTGCATACAAGAAGCACACCTCAAATTCAAAGATAGACATTACTTCAGAGTAAAGGGTTAGAATAAGATATTCCAATCAAATGAACTCAAGAAACAAGCTGGGGTAGCTATCCTAGTATCTAACAAATTAGACTTCAAACTAAAATCAATCAAAAGAGATGAAGAAGGTCATTTCATATTCATCATAGGAAAAATCCATCAGGAAGAAATCTCAATTCTAAACATCTATGCCCCAAATACAAAGGCACCAACATTCGTAAAAAAAAAATTATTAAAACTTAAATCACAAATAAGACCTCACACATTAATAGTGGGAGACTTAACACCCCACTCTCACCAATGGACAGAACCACCAGACAGAAACTTACAAAAGAGACAAAGGAACTAACAGAAGTTATGACCCAACTGGAATTAACAAACATCTATAGAACATTCCATCAAAACACAAAAGAATATACGTTCTTTTCAGCACCACATGGAACCTTCTCTAAAATCAACCACATAGTCAGCAACATAGCAAACCTCAGCAGGTACAAAAAAATTGGAATAACCCCCTGTATCTTATCAGACCACCCCATGCTTTAAAGTTCTAATTCAAAAACAACATGAATTGCAGAAAACCTACCAAATCATGGAAATTGAACAACTCGAAATTGCACCATACCTGAGTCAACAAAAAAAAAAAATAAAGGAAGAAATTAAAGACTTCCTAGAATTCAATGAAAATGAAGACATAACATACCCCAATTTATAGGACACTTTGAGAGCAGTATTAAGAGGAAAGTTCATAGCACTAAGTTATCACATGAAGAACCTAGAGAATAAGCACTCCAGAGAGTTGACATCACAACTGAAAGCTCTAGAACAAAAATGGAGGCAAAAATCACCCTGGGAAGAGTAGACGCCAGGAAATAATCAATCAACAAGATAGACAAACTAACCAAACTAACCAAAAGGCAGAGAGAGAGCATGCAAATTAACAAAATCAGAAATGACAGAGTGACATAACAACAGACCTTGAGGAAATCCATAGAAACTTAAGGTCATACTTTGAAAACCTGTATTCTACAAAATTGGAAAATTTAAAGGGAATGGACAATTTTCTGGACAGATATCACTTACCAAAATTGAATGAAGATCAGATAAGCAACTTAAACAGACCTATAAACCCTAAGGAAAAGAAGCAGCCATCAAAGGTCTCCCAACCAAAAAAAGCCCAGGGCCAGTTGGCTTCAGTGCAGAATTCTACCAAAAATTCAAAGAAGAGCTAATACCAATACTCCTCAAATCATTCCACACAATAGAAACAGAAGGTTCATTGCCAAACTCTTTTTACGAAACTACCATTACCTTGGTACCCAAGCCACACAAAGACACAACTAAGAGAGAGAGTACTACAGACCAATATCCCTCATGAATATTGATGCAAAGATACTCAACAAAATACTGGCAAACCGAATCCAAGAACATATCAGAAAAATCATCCACCGTGATCAAGTAGGCTTCATCCCCGGGATGTAGGGTTAGTTCAGCATACAAAAATCCATCAATGTAATCCACCATATAAACAAACTGAAAAAGAAAAACCACATGATCATCTTGCTAGATGCTGAAACAGCCTTTGACAAAATCCAACACCCCATCATGATAAAGGTCCTAGAGAGATCAGGA